GATGGGATGACGAAGCGAGGTCTCCCGCTGCCGTGACTGCGGGGAGACAAGGCGTGGTCGCCTCTCCCCCGCGGCTCACTGCGGAAGGAGACGGGGGCGGTGGAGGGGGGCAGTCGCACACCGACTCACCGCTTCGGGCGCGACGTCCTTTTTCTCAGAAAGAGCGGGATGGTGGCGGACTAGAGGGAGACGGCAGGGCACTGGTCGGAGACCGCCGGCGGCACGAGCGCGCGCCAAGCAGCGGGTGCCGGCGGCTCGGAGCTGCGGGTCTCCACCTGCCCCAGCGCCGCAGGACCCTCCTCCCCGGCGCGCCGGTACCTGCACCGGCGTCATGTACGCGAAGCCCAGCTCCCGCAGCGCGCCCAGCACCCGGGGGTGCAGCGGCACCGGCAGCGACTCCCAGGACCCCTCCGTCACGTGCTCCATAGCGAGCGCCGCCGCCTCCCGAACGCCCGCAGCGGACACTTCCGCTTCCGGCCGCCGACTGGTCCGGCCGGGAACCGTGCTCGGGCTGCGAAGTTCCGGGGAGCGGAAAGGCGTCCTCGCCGCAGGTGCCCGGGAAGCGGATTAGGGGGCAGTGAAAGCCGGCGGCGGGGGCCCCGCAGGTGCACGGCTGCCGGTCCGGCGTCCGCGCAGCCACCCGGGCCGGGGCGCCTCTCCACCCCGAGCGGCAGTTGGGCGGGAGGGATGGTGCCCCGTCTCTTTCTCCGCCGCGGGAGGCAGAGGGCAGCACAGTGCCGCGGGCTGGAGGAATGGACCCGGGCCGAGCCCCCGGTTAACAGTAGGGGACCGTGTCCGGTACGTAACAGATGTTGGTTGACTTCCTAGGAAGTTGCGATCAGATCCTAAACCAGAACCCTGCCGTGTCGTCCACGTGTTCCTTCCTCTTCGCTGGGGCCCCGCGCACTCAGCGAGCTTCAGTGCCGGGCCCCGTGGGCACCCCCTTCTCCATTAATGCGCGAGGCTTCCCCTACTTCCACCAGGGGTTTCCATATCATCTCAGCGAGGCTTCCTCTCCTGCCAAAGCCACTCACCCACAGCGCCTGCCATGAGGGTAACTCACAGACGCGCGTCATCTCCCCACGGGAAGGTAAACCCCACGATGGGCGGTTTTCCTCTGCATCCCAGTGGCTCCCCTGGTAGTAAGTACACAGCCAGTATTTGGGGATGAATAAACATCTTAAACTAAAGGAAGTGAAAAATAAAAGGCCAAGGCAAGTTTCACTGAAACAGGTTCACCTCCTCAAAACCCCACTGAGCACTTTCATAGACGGACCTGCGCAGAGAGCTCTGAAAACGAAGCCGGAGGCAAGGGCAGCGCTGCCCCTGCGTTTGGCGCTCTGCTTACTACGTTCTGGACCTTCTCCAAGCCCATTTCTTTATTTTCAAAATAAGAATA